AAGCTTGTGTTTTCCAGTCTAGCCTGTTGGGGCAGCATGCCCTGTCCCCAATGTCCACTAAGCAGCCATCTAAGGTAGAACTATGGTTTTCCAGTCTGAAGTAAAGAACAGTAAAGAAAATCAAAGAAATAGATGGTGCCCAGCTATCACTTCTGACCTCTTGGAAATGGGTCACAATAGAGAGGCCTGGAAAGAGTGGGAGAAAAATGGTGAACAAAATTCAGAACCATAAAAAGACCAAGATTACCAGGGACTGGTAGCACCCTGGCACAATGGCTCTTAATCTTCAGACCTGGAAATGAACTCATTTTCATGGCTCAGCTTTCAGCCAACCAATGGGCAGGATGAAAGACCACCACCAGGGAGGCACCCCGGTCTCAGAACAAGGAACCATGTAAGAACAAAGGGGGACCATTTGCCCAGGGTTAAAACTCAGAAGGCGGAACTGGATGCGAAAGAAAGATGAACGAAAACAGTTAACACAGGAGAAAAGTGGAAAGAATGCTATTACACTGTGGGGAGCAAAATCACTGCATTGAAACAAAACGCACATCAAGTGTTGAGCAGATAACCAATCAGCTCTATAAACTTTCACTAAATGACAAAAATTTAAAAATAAGTAAACACACTTTGTCCTGTTCATGTAAGAAGTGAACTTTCATCTGCTAGAGCAGATGTCTAAAAGTCCCCTGTAAGCATGATTTTGAGCTGGTGATAGAAGTAAACACCATATAATTGACAGACAAAAATTCTCATTTAACAGGCTCTGAAAACAATTAGATATGGAAGGAACATGCACTAACTTATCAAATGACGAGATTCACAGGCTTCACAAGGTGCGAATTCAAAGGTCAGTAAGTCAAACCTCCCAGTCATCAAGGTGCGTCAACTCTGTCCTATAGGATTGCTATGAGGTGGAACTGACCCGATGACACAGTGGCAGAGGCTTTATAAAAACAATTTACCTAGAGTTGAATGGTTTCTGAAACCAGTACCTTTAAATAAGAAATTATATGTACAAACATTCTCTGCTTTCATGCAAATATAAAAGAGATTCTGGAACAAGTTTCTACCTTTTTCCTGGTATGGCTAGTGGGTATAATTTTCATTATACCCAGTGATTTTTGAATCCTTTTGGGTAACCTCACTTTTCTAAAGCCCACTAAGAAGGATGTCAGGCTTACAGAGAACAGCCAGGACAGAGCGCACATCTGCTCGGATGGCTGTGAACCAACCGAGCAGGGGTGGCAGGGCTCTGAAGCAGAATGCAAGGAGGCCTGGAGGAAGGCAGGGGCAACCCCGTACAGCATGCCCACAGGATACCGTTCAAGCACCAGGCTCTGTCACGAAGAGAGAAGGTTTTCCTGCTCGCTGTTTCTCTTCACATCTTCCCAGAAAATAAGTGGGGAATCATTTTCTTTTTATAAATAGGGTATAGCAAGTAAAAAAAGAAACGTGTGTGAATGTGTAGCTATAAATGTGGATTTGTGGATCTGTACTAATGTGTGTTGTTGTTTTTAAAACAGCTGTCATGAACCAGACATATAAAAAAAGCATAAATAGCCACAGATATATTTTCCCAGCAAGTTTTAAAGTGGGAACTCTAAGCAGCACTGCAACATGTAAGCCTGAATTTCATCCAATTCGTCTGTGGTGGGTGGGTTACATCTGTCGGTTCAGCATGTTTTCCCACCAGGGTCAGGCCGAAGAAAGTATCAGCCCAGCACCAAAGATTCAACTGTGAGTAGATTTGATCTGGAACATTCTCTCATCAGATGCTGACTCCTAATTAGTTTGCCTTTTATTTGCTATTTGAATGTAGATGATCCGAGGCTACCAGATGCAAGCATGCTCTTCTCCCGAGAAGCACAGCAATCCCAGTATAACGGCCTTTTAATAGTCCACAATTCATTACCTGGTGATATCTTCAGATAGCTGGGCAGGGTCAGGGGGGTAAAATTTCACGTTAAACGAAAAGTGCCAAGCACCACCTGCAGGGAAAGGAGAAAACATGAAACCCTCAGAAACTGCAGAGATTCTTGTTCTTCTTGATGCTTCTAATGATAGTGTTTATTGCCTTCATTCTCAGGGTCAACGTCCAGGCCACTCTGGATCATCTGTGCGACTAGCAAGTGCAGGTAAGTCTGAAACCTCATACCGTCTCTAACCTTCACACCAAGCAAAGCCTTTACTGGTGCGTCCACACGGCAAGGGCATGGACTGACCTTTCTTGCTTTATTCAAGGACAAAGGTAAATATTTGAAAGAAGTGGGGAAAATGAAGATACAGATAATCTGAGATTAGATGAGGCTGGAATTGACTGGATTTACTGCTATGAATTTCTGGATAGCCCACATATGAAAATTATAGCAGTAATTCCCATTTTCTTGGTCCTTTTTGCTTTGTTATTACTGTAAGTCATATTCTATTATAATAACTGTCAAAGTATTATTCAAACTATCTTATGGGGGAAGATGGCATGGTGAATATTTCTTCAATAAATTTCTGTTTTAAATTCTTTTTTGCCTCAGGGAGATATTTTATTAAATAGACATCTGAATATATTTACTGTGCATCCTCAATTTCCTGTCCTTAGCTTATGGCTTGGGCTGGTCCCCTTGATGGTTTGTCATTCCTCCTCTTGTGTCACCTACTTGGGTTCTCCAACAGTGAGGTGCTCAATCTCAGGACCTGCTCGCCCACTCCAAGACTGCTGTGTTACTAAGCTTCATGTTTTATTAGTACTCTAATTGTATACGGCTTATCATTATAAATATAAAAGCAGTACAGTTTCTTCCTTCCAACACTTTATCTCTACCCAATTCTTCCTTCAACTCAGTCACTTTGTTCCCTCTCCCTGGCCTGTAGCGCAGTGATTGTCCAAAGTCTGGGGATTCCTTTGCTGAGATGCTATATACACATGCACCAACCACCCATTAAAGCAACCTAGCCTAGGCCCAACTGTATTTTGAAAGGACTACTGGGACATCCCTCACCATCTCCCTGGCTTCTGAAGTGGGAGCCCTGCATTTACTATAGCCACAGTCTTTGTTTATTCCACAATGATATACAAGACTTTCAGCTTCAAATACTCTAGGACTTCTTCATATTTTCGCTTTCAAATTAAAATCTCATCTTCCAGGAATTCCATTTTTTTCATGAGCCCTCCTTGCACAGTCAGAAGAAAAGCCCCGTGTTACTAGTATTTCCTACTACCCTTTCTTTGTACTGCCCCCTTGCCTTTGAGCCAATACTTAACTTCACACGTATCTGATGTTTGTCATCAACAGCATGCAGCCACTTATTAATGTATTCTAGTTTATTCTTGACACTGAAAACCCATGTAAGGCAGGAATAGCTGAGCTGCTTTATAAAGGACTTAGCATAGGTGTCATTTGGGGTTAATATTATTTTTAAACCACTCAGAAGATATTACTGAATATCACTGAAACTGGGCTATGAGTAATATGAACCTAAGGAGTTCTATCATATAAATATAATTTTTACTAGATTTTTCACTGTTGTAAAAAAAAGGTCTTAATTATAAAAGGTCTGATTAGTTCTCACTTTCCTATTGATTTCTTTCGGAATGCGATCCACTTTCTTTAATTCAGTGGAATTAAAACTAATGGGTAATTATGGAAAATGAATTTACTGCCCTTTTATAATTTGTATCCACTTCAAAGTATGCATTAAATACAGTGAATAGTTTATCGCGGTAATAGAATAATCTTATAATGAATTCAGGGTAAAAAAACTCTGCATTGAAAATTCAGAAGGAAAGAGCACAGGAAATGTATGCCTGTAAAATTCTCATTCTGGGGAACTCACTTTCAACCACAGTAGGCACAGAGTCCTCTGTGGAGCTCGTGTGAAATGCTAACTGGGATTCACCCCCAGAGATTTCTATTCCAGAGATTTTGAATCTGGTCTAAGAACTTGTGGCTTTCTTCGATACTCATTTTCATGAAGATTATCACTGACGATAATGGTGCCACAGCAAAGAGTGATGAAGAAGCACATGGTGCCCGACTACCAATTAGAATAGTGTCTGGGGTCTTAAAGGCTTGTATTGAAACAAGCAGCCATCTAACAAGGAATTGACTAAGTCCACAATGAAGAAGCACACCAGTTTACGTGATGCAAAGATGACAATAACAAAATCCAAATATGACAAAGGGAAAAGTATCAGAGCTTAAATTGTGAACACCCAACTTGTAGAAGGCTATGGAGGGCAGTGGGAGCCCCAAATCTATCTGCAGAGTATGTAGTCAGAGGAAGCCTCTGGCAGATCCCCTCGGGCAAGGGACTAGACCAGCTTAACTACCAGACAGAATTGATTGTCAATTAGATGATGGTGGATCGAACCATGCTCTAATATGAAACTTGGTTAGCTGACCTCCCGCTTGACTGAATTTTCTCTATGCTCAAATATTTCTGACAGAAACTTCTCTAGCTTTTTAAATGTAGTTGGTGGTCTTTTCTTTCCTTAGTCTTTATTTTTATCTTTATATTATTATTATTTTGTTTCATTTTCATTTTGTTAGTTTTCCCAATTTATGAAGCACCGAATGAGTGGACACTAACTGATGCAATGAATGGTTTATTGGGGACAGGGGTTGGGGGTGGGAAGGGTGAGGGGAATTAGGGAGCAGTGAATGCGGGAGTGGGGAAAGAACATGAGGACTGATTGTGATGATGTGTATACACTTTTACAAAATGATTTGAGTATGGAGGTGTATGAAATACGAATATTGTATCAAGAAAACGACTAAAGAAAAAAGGAACAGAGAAACCAATCTTGACCAGTGGTTACCATGGGTGAAGGAGGAAGAGTTGTTGCTTAGGGGCATTGAGTTAATGGTGGAGGAATAATTTGGAAAAGGATATCAATAATGTTTGTACGTAATTAAGAATATAATCAAGGGTATTGAATTGTACATGTGGAAGTTGCTTAACTGGAGAATGTTTTGTTGCGTATGTTTTTGCCACAATTAAAACAATTACACAAATAACAGTGAGTACAAGAAGAGGAAAATGTTCTAGAGTTGATTGTGCTAACTCTTCTTGATATGATTGAACAACTAAATTGTATGCTATGTGGATGAACTGCCAATAAAACTGTTAAAAATCAAACACAAAGAAACCCATGTGACTTTCACATGGTTCAAAGACAGGGGTGGTGGTGGGGGAATTAGGACCACACTTTGAAAATCACGACTTCTAAGGGCTCCAAATCACTCCAGGCTTTCGTAAGCATGATTTTGAAAGAGTGGAAAAGCTTAAGAAAACTACAATCTGTACTATAATCAGGTGCCCTGGTGGCCTAGTGGTTATGCACTGGGCTGGTAATCACAAGCTCAGCAGTTTGAAACCACATGCTGCTTCTTGGGCGAAAGATGGGGCTTTCTACCCCGGTAATGAGTTAGCCTCGGAAACACAAGGGGTAGTTCTCCCTGTTCTGTCGGGTTGCTGTGGGTCAGTATTGACTCAATGGAGTTATACTGTAATCAAAAAGATAAAAATCCAGTTAAGTCAGACATAAATTAATGAGAATGGCAGATTAAAACTTAAATATATATCCCAGAACAGTGAATAATTCCATAGAAACAAATCAACTGGAAGGATATGCTCACATAATGAATGGGCTTATAAGACTATTTCTCAGATGACGGCTGTTCCTATTGAGAAACAGGAAATGAAACCACTTGAACACATTAAAATGACTATCTCTATAATGCTGATAAAAAATTTATGATAAACAGAAAACTGTGGAACTGAATAGAGTTCATTCTTATAAGTAAATTCTAATTTTAGTAGCCTATGCATGCTGAATTGTAAATTTCTTAATACAGTGCATTTGGTAATAAAATTACTATGCCATATGCTATATATTAAAGTTACTTTATTATGAATTTTAAGACTTGGCATGCATAAAAGATGACTAAAATTAGAACTTTTTCATCAGGATGAATTCTTGGGTTTCATATGTATAGTTTTTATTGATCATAGATTTGCGATTAAAAATCCTCTCAATTCATTCTGTATTCCCCAAAGCTGTCATTCTGCAGACATACACTGGGCCTTTGGAATGAAAAGGATGGAAACACCCTTTATTTTCTTATACTGAGGAAGAGGAGGTGAGGGTCAATGACGACAACAGACGTGATAAACACTGTCTTGGTAGTCTGCAGACTTGGTGGAAAAGGCAGAGTATAGACCAAAATGGTAAATTCCATCTTTTAAAGGAATTATCATTTTTCTCGCCTAGTCCTTTATTTGAAGACTGTCACTTGGGCTTCTCCAGAATGCAGTCATTTGCCTAATCTGGTTAGGCTGGGTTCCACCTCCACCCTCAGCTCCCCCCACCCCCCCTTAGAAAGGCAGGTTAGGAGACAGGATGTGGAGAAAAAGAACTTTGTTAACAACAGAAAAGAAAGATGATTTATAAAGACTTTCTTTTAAGAATACCTTCTTTGAAAACTTCATATATGCAATTATTAGTCAACTAAAAAGCAGCCAATTCATTAGTTAGATGGATACAAAGGATTTCCTGTATAGTGTTATGATATGTAGTCAGCACATCTGCTTTGACTAACTTCATAAATAACCCCTTTATAGAGTTAGTAGATATGGAGTACATATTCATCATCTGAAATGTTTTATTATGGCTCTTTGAAACCCAAAACAGGACGATTTCTCCTTTTTATCATAACTCTGGATGTAGCTGGATTTAGCAATTTATCTATTTCTATCAAACTATTTCAGTGTCTGGTGAGCAGATGCATAACATTTTTCTTCCGGGGCGGGTTGGGGGGGAGATAGAACTCATTCAGTATAAATGTTTTAACTGTATAAATTATCAGCAAACTCCAAATATCTAGATGTGTATTTTCTTTTTGCTGAGATATTATATGCTGTTAAACCATTTTAAACTACTCACTACTCATTTTTTTAGTGTTTTAAATATTTTAATATCCCAACATCTTCAAAAGCACTAGAAATATTTGCGATATCTTTTAATAGTAAACTAAATGTGAATGATGTTTTAAAAATGCATTAGTTAAGCAAGTGAATGAACCTAGAATTTATTGATAAGAATATGTATTGATTTAAAATGAACATTATTTCAATTCTAAAGTTTACTAATGTTTATAAAAGTGAGAGCTACAGAAAAAAATTAAAAATTTGTTTTCTCTTTTCCAATTCCCACACCAGGGGTGTCAAACTGGCGGCCCGTGGGCCACATGCGGCCCCCGAGGTAATGTTTTGTGGCCCACGATGCTCTGAAATAAAATGTAACGAGGGAATTGTGTGTACAGTATTGCCTCGATCTCCCCTAAGCGCTATTTTCTTCATAACATTTTTTTCTATTTTCTTTTATTTCAGAGTATTGTGGGCCACAAAAAATTACCTCAGAGCTGCGGGCCGCCAGTTTGACACCCCAGCCCTACACTGTAGTCTGGAGATAATCACTATTAATACCTTTCATGGCCTTCCAAAAATTTCCCCTAGATTTATATGTGCATGCCTTGCTTAAACAAATGGGGTCTTCTTATGCTCTACGACCTGATTTTCTCCAAGGAGAGCTACAACATCATTCTACCTCATTCCGCTTGGATGGCTGCCTTGCACTTGAGGATGCTGTTCTATGATTGGTTTAATTGTTTCCTGACAAACAGATATTGAAGTTGTTCTTAGTATTTTTCCACTGCAAACAGTATTCTAATGAAGTTTCGTGTGTGTACACACATACATTTTCTTTCTTGCTCATAAATTGAATAAATTTCTTTCTACATGTAGAAATCAAAACAAAAACAAACTCACTGCCATCGAATCGATGTTGATCCATAGTGACCCTATAGGGCAGGCTAGAACTGGCCCCTACGTTTCCAAGACTTTAACTGGTTACAGGAGTGGAAACCCTAGCATTTCTCCTGAGGAGCGGCTCGTGGTTTCAAACACAACACCTTTTGCGTGGCAGCCCAAAAAAACCACTACGTCACCAGGCCTCATGGCTCATGCTACATGTAGAAATAATAGTTTAATACCTCCCCCGCTCATTCCCAGACATTTAAAATAAACACTGACAATTTGTTGTAACAAGGATTACACAACCCAGTTGTCAGTACAGTGTACTATTTAAAAATGCACCCAGTTGCCAGTATAGTACGCACCCAGTTGCCAGTATAGTACGCACCCAGTTGCCAGTATAGCGTACTATTTAAAAATTTGTTTATCCAAATAGGTGGAAAATGCCTCATTTTAATTTAAACTTAATTAATAGTAAATTTTAGCAATCTGCCACAGATTTATTAGCTACTTATAATTTAATGTTGTGAATTTCTCACACCAATGTATAAGCAAGTTAAAGCATGCATATTTTAACCCACTTTTAGGAACCAAGGAAAGAGGCTATTCACAGCCCAGTACATTTCCATCTGACTTGCTCTTCAATTTCTGAAAAACCAAATAGCTATTTCTTTTAGCTTGACTTTTATATTTTCGTGGCATTTAGGCTCAATATAGCCTTAGTATTGTATTTGCAGATTTTAAATGGTTAACTCTTGTTTGCAGCTTCACTTGACAAAATCATCTCTTTGATTTCAATGTATACATAGGGTGACAGGCCAATGCCACACTGATTTAATCTGAGTTCTGCTTATTGAATAGGAATTCTGTCTGAGCTACCCTGACCTTCCAAAGATCAAATTTGAGCTTTTAATTTTTCTTTCAAAAAAGTATTGTCAAAGTAGTCCATTGGGGATATACTGCTGACCTTCATATTTCACATAAAATCGTCCAAAAGAACTTACTTCGAATTTGCTTTTTTATTTCCTTAGAAGGGTCCAGCCAATTCTGAAAAGGAAATGAAAGTTTAAATTTGAGTCAAGGGAGAATCAAGAACCACATCATGTTTATCAGAGACAGACGCCCGCTAATAGGATCATCCCCACGGTGCCATCCACTGGTGAGAGCGCTGTCGGAAGGCCTCGGAGCTGCAGTCCTTCCCTGCCAGGCACTCACGTAAGAAAGAAAAAGAGAAACCTCGTGTGTGTACACAATGTGTGCTTGACAACACGCTTTCTTTGACCATTGCCTCCAGTTAGATATTCAAGCGAGCACAGAAATAGAGGGGGGCGGGACAGAACGGAGAATGATTCTCTTTCCAGACAAGTTAGCTGAATAAATTAAGAAGACATGTCACTTGATGCTCTGGCCATCCCTTCCCACACCAGTGACTCCTGGGATATAGAATCTCATGTATCTACCTGAAAAACTTCCCTCACAAATGAACACTTGCTTGAAATGGGTGTTTTTGCTCACCCCAAAAACCATACAGGCAATAATGAAGTTAGAAATGTCCTTGGCGAATCCCAAAGCATGACTCATTTGCACAAGATCAAAATGAGTCATGAATAAACTTTCTGCGACTGCATTTCTACCACCAATACAAGAGAACCTTTTCTTATATTTTAGGGAGTTATGGGGATTGGCAAAGCAAAGCCCTGAATAAACTCCATTAATCAGTTGTGAAAGTAATAGAGGTATTGCATTAGATATGAAATGCTCATTGAATGCATTGGACAAGTTTAAGTTAGCAAATGACCCATCCATCTGGTTTGAACATGCGGCATAATGAGATGGACGGAACAAAGACAGCAGCCGCAATCTGAACTACTCCAATACTTTATGTCACAACTCTACTATCTTCATAGAATTTGGGGATATGAACACGTTTTCTATCAAAGAATTAATGTACTTGATCTTCATTGGCTAAAATAATCAGGTGCAATATGTCACTCCCACCCCACTATATACGTTAGAAATAAAAGGATTGACCTGCTATCTCCAATTCCATAGCAATTTCCTTCATAAAGGAGTGTGGCGATGAACTGCATTTAGGGATTCAACATACAAGGTGTTGGGAGATGAAAACCCAAACTCACTGATGTCAAGTCAATGCCAACTCACGGCGATCCTATAGGACAAAATAGAACTGCCCCTGTGGAATTCTGAGACTGTAGTTTTTTTAATTAATAAATCATTTTATTGGGGGTTCTTATAGTTCTTATAACAATCAAATGTTGTGTGTTCTGTTGGTGCTTTGCTGCACCCTGGCTGACTTGTTCCTCCCCTGTGACCGTTCTGTGAGGGAATGTCCAATTGTCTACACATGGGCTTTGGGTCTCCTCTCCGACCCCTATCATTTGCATCAATATATTTGTTTGGGGTCTTCTGATGCCTGATGCGAGGCTGTAACTTTTTTTATAGCAGTAGAAAGCCTCATCTTTCTTTCTTTAAAATCATTTTATTGGGGGCTAGTACAACTCATCACAATCCATATATGCATCCATTGTTTCAAGCACACCTGTAAATTTGTTGCCCTCAACATTCTAGAAAGCCTCATCTTTCTCTGGAGGAATGGCTAGTGGTTTCAAGTTGCTGACCTTGCAATTAGCAGCTCAAAGAATATGCCACCAGGACCCTGCGGGGAGATGAAAGGGAGGTGGGTAAATGACCCAAGTATTTCCTTGTGTTCACTTGCCTGCAGTAACACGCAGCAGAAGCCCCTGTATTTTGTATGGCTTTTCATCTCTCACCTTTTGGTTTTCAGCATCTCGATAAGTAAGCCCAAAGTAGTCCTTTTCTAGCAGGTTCAGGTGTTCACATACTTTATCAAACAACACTTGGCCTCTGGCTCGTTTCTAAAGAAAACAAAATGAAAAAAGAAATCAGCATACAAAGTCAACAACTGCCGCTTCACACTGGTAATAATGTTTGTTGTAGATGCTTAGTAAGCTAGCAAAAAGTATGATCATCTAGTTAAAAATGACCATCTCATGTTTAACTAGAAAAACGGTTCAATGGTGTGGGCCTAAGCCTACAAATGGGTTTGCACCTGGGTGGCCCATATGCTAATGAGTTTCGGGGGGTGCACCCAGAGGTGCCTGGGAAGAGCACCTTGGCCCTCCCTCTCCTTCTGAAAGCCCAGGCACTGAAGGGGCTCTGGAGCACGTCTCCTCTCACACACGTGGTCTCCGTCCCTTGAGTCACCTGACAGCAACAAATTTGGGGCTTTGTTTGTTTAGCTTGGGAAAAGGAAAGCCTCGAGTATTTTGTAAAATATATAAAGCACGTACTAAAGTCACATTTCAGAACATCCTCACTGAGGAATGAGCCTGATCCTTGAATTAGGCAGATAGATCTTCAGTTCAGATGTCCTCACAAAGGATCACTTTCTTGTTATGCAATACTTTCTAAAGTTTATAAAATGAGCTCCATCCACTTGTTTTTATTTTTCAATTAATTTTTTTGTTTTAAATTAAAGTCTGTCATGAATTTTCACTTTGTATTAGTTTTCAACATTCGTTTATTTTACATCAAATCTTTCTAATTACATGCAATGAGATTCATCACTTTGGTTAAAGGATATTTCATTTCGTCCCATATAAATCTAAAACGTAAAGAAACATGCCTTATCATTGACTAAGGAGCTCTGGTGGCAAAATAGTGAGGCTGGCTGCGACCCAAAAGGTTGGGGGTTTCAAATCCACCAATCCGCTCTCTAGAACAAAGGACCTAGGGACGACTTATTCCCATAAAGATTTCTGCTGAGGAAACGCTATGGGGCAATTCTAGCCTTCCTGCAGGGGCATGATGCATCAGAATCAACTTGATGGCTGACAGTCACGGCATATGTTTGACCATAAAGAGGTCATCTGGAGAAAGAATAGAAGTAATCAATTGGGGGAATCATTCAACCTACTTATCATGATATTTTTCTGTTAAGTCTAAGTGATGTTTTTCTAGTTGAAAGATTGGTCATTTCATTAGGGTCTTTGGTTAAGATGAACCTGAGTGATATGACACCACACAACTGTACCACATTTTTATTTAATCCTGGCAAGGTCTGAACCTGGCCTTGGAGTCTGAAATAAATTAACTAGCAATAAGTACGCTCATTTGCTTTTGTTTGTTAACACTAACATGACAAAATTAGTGCGTTAAGCATATATATCTTTGAAGATTCAATGTAATAACAAGACATTTGAAAACTGATAAACTCTCTGTGCCAAAATAAAAGCGTTCAAAAGACCTGCATGTGCTATGTGTTACTATGCAACCACTTTTATACTGAAAGTTAGTTAACCAATCAGTTCCTTCAAGCCTATTTAGCAATATATTTTTTTATGAGAAAAAAAAAACAAAGCCTAAATTGTAGCCAGTTAAATATTCATGATGGTCTTGGGAAAAAATAAACAAAAACTAGTTCACACACAGCCACTATCAAAGTGAAGCCATTATAGAAAAAGGCTGCCATCCTCCCCCTTCTAGCAGATACCACACTCCCACTTCAAGCCTAAAGTGACAGAGGGCTAATGGAAGGTGAGCTGGGTAGCATCCAAGGGCCTTCTCTTGAGCTACACTGAGCAACAAGGTAATACAACTAGAAATCACTGATAGGATGCACAGCTAAGGCTCAAACGCTTAGTCTGTTTACTAACTTCAGAAGGGTATGTCCACAATCACTCCTCAAACACAGCACGTGAAATAAGCTTTTCTGCAGCATGAATGAAAAGGTTGTTCACAAGATCTCTAGTTATTTTATAAATCACTGGTTTCTCAGTGGATGCCTCACCGGCTGTAGAGCCCGGAAACTTCTTGAAGATGAAAATTCCCAGGGCCTACCACAGCCTTACTGATCTTTAGGAGTTCTTTGGGGCCCCGACATCTGTGTTCTCACCAGCCCTCCATCTGGGGGATTTACATGTGCACTCAGGTCAAAAGCCTGTGCTGTCCGAGTCCCACATCTAGAGGGTGCACAAAGTTTGTACCAAAATTGTTGTTCTTATTGGTCAACCTCGAGGAGCAATTTTGAATATTATTTGAAAACTGTTTTCAGTGGGACAGTTCAAGCATATACAAGGGTAGAGGGTAATAAAATGAAATTGCAAATATCTGCTATTCTGAAACATCTCACAAGTAAGTAATATGTGAAGCGGTTTAATAATTGGTAGAGAAACTCCACTTTCTTTCAATTCCAACTTCCCAAACTCTTTTTGAAGCTTTCTTGAATATACAGATGTGTACATACATGTCTAGGTGGACACACGTCTATATCATGGATGAAAGCAGAGAAAATCAGAAAGACGGTTCTGCATTTTATTGACAAACATGGATATAAAAAACTATGGATAATATTGAGAACAATGGGAGTTCGAGAACACTTCATTGTGTTCATACAGAACCTGTACCGAGAACAAGAGGTATGTCTTTGGAAAAGAACAAGGGTTTGTAAATCACTGCATGGTCTAAAATCAGGAAAGGTGTGTCAGGGTTGTTTTCTTTCACCAGACTTATTCATTCTGTATGCTGAGCAGATAATCAGAGAACTGGCTTATATGAAGAACCTGGTATCGGCCTTGAAGGAGCGCTTATTAGCAGCCTGTGATATGTAGACAGTACAACCGTGCTTGCTGAAAGTGAGGAGGACTTGAAATACTTGCTGATGAAGATTGCTGCCTTCAATATAGATTACAATTCAATATAAAGAAAATAAAAACTCTCCTACTGGACCAAATAGATAATATCTTCATAACTGGAGAAAATCTTGAAGTTGTCAAGGTTTACGGTTTGGAAACAGGAGTCAAGAAGAAATCAAAGGATGCACTGAGCAAATCTGCTGCACAAGATCTCTTTACAATGTTGAAGGCCAACAATATCATTTTGAAGACTAAGGTGTCCCTGCCCCAAGTCATGGCATTTTCAATCGCCTCGAACATGCATGTGAACGTTGGGCAACGAATACGGAAGACTGAAGACGAACGGATGCATTTGAGCTACGGTGCTGGCGAAGAGTACTCAAAGTGCCGTGGACGGCCAGAAGAGCAAACAAATCTGTCTTGGAAGAAGTACAGTCAGAACGCTTCATAGAAGCAAGGATGGGGAACCTCTGACTTAAGTTCTTGGGGCATGTTATCAAGAGAGACCAGTCCCTGGTGAAGGCGCCGTGCGTGGTATAGTAGAGGGTCACTGAAAAAGAGGAATATCATCAAGGAAATGGATCTGAAAACATTGCAAATTAACTTTTTTTTAAGTGTAATAACTTGAGCTTTCATGTTTAGATCTCTTTAAGACATAGACACATTTAAACTTAAAGTGTGGCGCTCGGTCAAGCCTGCATGCATCACCTGGGGAGTACTTAAAAATGCAAAGGCTTTGGGCCGATCACTAGAAATTCTCACTCCAGCTTCCATAGTCTGTCGGAGAACTGCCCGAGGTGGGTTTGGACAGTGACGGCTTTTACATTGCATCCCAACTTCGCGGTTTAAAACCCTTAGTTATTGTTTCGGTGACACTGGGTAACAAATCAAGTTACCTTCTTAATCTTCTAATAGCATTTGGCCAAATGTGAAGCCCTATGTGTAGTACACTACAGGGGGTGTAGTGCCAGCCACTCCCTGTGTGTCTGCGGTGAGTAGAGACATGAGATGTATGCAGAAAGGTGGCTGTGGTTCTGGGAAGGCCATGGCAAATGCCCACATAGTACTCCAAAGCACTAATGGCCAAGGACAAAAGTCACATTTCACTGGTGGGAGAGGAAATGCTTTTTGAGAGAGGCCCTGGAGAAGTTTTGACAGATGAGAACCCTTGACAGGTGATGAACAAGACAGAGTATTTCAGACAGGGTACAGCTGCCAGAGCACAGGGAATGCCCACCTTTCCAGGAAATTGTACTAGCACGGAGCATAGTAGTCACAGGCTATAGCCTAGGTATCAATACAGATCTATTAGACTCATTGTTGATAATTATTGATTATTTGACTCACTGGACAACAATGAACCAGGGAGAGTTTTTAAACAAGGTACTAAAGTTTACCTTCCCAAATCTGGCTGTTGTGATGAGGCTAGGTGAGAACATAGTTCAGAGTCTCTCAGATGGCAAGGTGGTATAAAGAGGAGTCAGAGGATGGGAACAGAAAGGTTCAATTGCTGCCTCAGTAAAATGAGCCCTAGTTGGCACCACTTGAATCAGGGAAAAGGAGAGGGTGGAATCAAGGGAAAGTGTGCCATCTGGGTGATGTGGAAGAGCAGTGCTCCCAGAAAAGAAATAGGGAAGACACTCCGCACAGGGAGCGCATGCAGACGCAATGACCACACCGTAACCGAGCACTCACAAATTGGTCCTAGGCAGGAGCTGAAGGAAAGATGCTCCCACGGAGGCATTGGCACCATCATTATGGCTCGCACCTGTTTGTGCTGTATTGAACCACTTCAGGCCTCCATGAGTTTACAGTGATATTATAAAAGAGAGAATCTAATTGGGTCTGGGGATGTCAGCCAACATAATGCTTTGAAAGTGGATAAAAGGAAAGAAAGATTTATCCTGACTTTCCAAATCAAACTATACCACTGAGTGAAATAATTCTGAAACACAGAAGTATATCTTTACAGATAGATTTCCGCTAATAAACGGAGTGATAACTAGAATTAGATTTCACCATCTTGCAGCCTTGCAAGAGTGGATGTTGGCACTGATCACCAGTGGTGGCTAATACCAGAAATAGGCAAGCAGTCATTGTGTGCCTCCTGATAAGATAATGCAGCATCGTGTGTGTGTGTGTGTGTGTGTGTGTGTGTGTGTGTGTGTGTGTTGGGGATGGCGGGGGTGGGGTGGGTGGAATTCAAATGAGAATCGAACTTT